GTGGCTCCCAGTGTTGCTGCCCCAGCCTGGTGGCTCCCAGTGTTGCTGCCCCAGCCTGGTGGCTCCCAGTGTTGCTGCAGCAGCCTGGTGGCTCCCAGTGTTGCTGCCCCAGCCTGGTGGCTCCCAGTGTTGCTACCCCAGCCTGGTGGCTCCCAGTGTTGCTGCCCCAGCCTGGTGGCTCCCAGTGTTGCTGCCCCAGCCTGGTGGCTCCCAGCCTGGTGGCTCCCAGTGTTGCTGCCCCAGCCTGGTGGCTCCCAGTGTTGCTGCCCCAGCCTGGTGGCTCCCAGTGTTGCTGCCCCAGCCTGGTGGCTCCCAGTGTTGGTGCCCCAGCCTGGTGGCTCCCAGCCTGGTGGCTCCCAGTGTTGCTGCCCCAGCCTGGTGGCTCCCAGTGTTGGTGCCCCAGCCTGGTGGCTCCCAGCCTGGTGGCTCCCAGTGTTGCTGCCCCAGCCTGGTGGCTCCCAGTGTTGCTGCCCCAGCCTGGTGGCTCCCAGTGTTGCTGCCCCAGCCTGGTGGCTCCCAGTGTTGCTGCCCCAGCCTGGTGGCTCCCAGTGTTGCTGCCCCAGCCTGGTGGCTCTTAGTGTTGCTGCCCCAGCCTGGTGGCTCCCAGTGTTGCTTCACTAGCCTCGTGGCTCTCACAGCTTGCTTCACTAGCCTGGTGGCTCCCAGTGTTGCTTCACTAGCCTCGTGGCTCCCAGTGTTGCTGCCCCACCCTGGTGACTCCCAGTGTTGCTTCACTAGCCTCGTGGCTCCCACGGCTTTCCTCACTAGCCACGTCGTTCTCACAGCATGCTTCACTAGCCTCGTGGCTCCCACAGCTTGCTTCACTAGCCTCGTGGCTCCCACAGCTTGCTTCACTACCCTCGTGGCTCCCACAGCATGCTTCACTAGCCTCGTGGCTCCCACAGCTTGCTTCACTACCCTCGTGGCTCCCACAGCATGCTTCACTAGCCTCGTGGCTCCCACAGCATGCTTCACTAGCCTCGTGGCTCCCACAGCTTGCGTCACTGTCCATGTGGCTCCCACAGCTTGCTTCACTGTCCGAAATGTTGTAGGGTTCTGTTCTTTGTGGCTTACTGTTTAAGGGTGTTCTTCAATGAATGCACCGAACCCTCCTGCATGCTGTAAAGTCCCAATATGCATGATGCTCATGTTCTATGTATGCTGCCAGGTCCCAGTGTGTATGTTGCCAGGTCCCAGTGTGTATGTTGCCAGGTCCCAGTGTGTATGTTGCCAGGTCCCTGGGTGTATGTTGCCAGGTCCCAGTGTGTATGTTGCCAGGTCCCAGTGTGTATGTTGCCAGGTCCCAGTGTGTATGTTGCCAGGTCCCTGGGTGTATGTTGCCAGGTCCCAGTGTGTATGTTGCCAGGTCCCAGTGTGTATGTTGCCAGGTCCCAGTGTGTATGCTGCCAGGTCCCAGTGTGTATGCTGCCAGGTCCCAGTGTGTATGTTGCCAGGTCCCAGTGTGTATGTTGCCAGGTCCCAGTGTGTATGCTGCCAGGTCCCAGTGTGTATGTTGCCAGGTCCCAGTGTACATGCTTCCAGGTCCCAGTCTGTATGTTGCCAGGTCCCAGTGTGTATGTTGCCAGGTCCCAGTGTGTATGTTGTCAGGTCCCAGTGTGTATGTTGCCAGGTCCCAGTGTGTATGTTGCCAGGTCCCAGTGTGTATGTTGCCAGGTCCCAGTGTGTATGTTGCCAGGTCCCAGTGTGTATGTTGCCAGGTCCCAGTGTACATGCTGCCAGGTCCCCGTGTACATGTTGCCAGGTCCCAGTGTGTATGTTGCCAGGTCCCAGTGTGTATGTTGTCAGGTCCCAGTGTGTATGTTGCCAGGTCCCAGTGTGTATGTTGCCAGGTCCCAGTGTGTATGTTGCCAGGTCCCAGTGTGTATGTTGCCAGGTCCCAGTGTGTATGTTGCCAGGTCCCAGTGTACATGCTGCCAGGTCCCCGTGTACATGTTGCCAGGTCCCAGTGTGTATGTTGCCAGGTCCCAGTGTGTATGTTGCCAGGTCCCAGTGTGTATGTTGCCAGGTCCCAGTGTGTATGTTGCCAGGTCCCAGTGTGTATGTTGCCAGGTCCCAGTGTACATGCTTCCAGGTCCCAGTGTGTATGTTGCCAGGTCCCAGTGTTTATGTTGCCAGGTCACAGTGTGTATGTTGTCAGGTCCCAGTGTGTATGTTGCCAGGTCCCAGTGTGTATGTTGCCAGGTCCCTGGGTGTATGTTGCCAGGTCCCAGTGTGTATGTTGTCAGGTCCCAGTGTGTATGTTGCCAGGTCCCAGTGTGTATGTTGCCAGGTCCCAGTGTACATGCTTCCAGGTCCCAGTGTGTATGTTGCCAGGTCCCAGTGTGTATGTTGCCAGGTCCCAGTGTGTATGTTGTCAGGTCCCAGTGTGTATGTTGCCAGGTCCCAGTGTGTATGTTGCCAGGTCCCAGTGTGTATGTTGCCAGGTCCCAGTGTGTATGTTGCCAGGTCCCAGTGTGTATGTTGCCAGGTCCCTGGGTGTATGTTGCCAGGTCCCTGGGTGTATGTTGCCAGGTCCCAGTGTGTATGTTGTCAGGTCCCAGTGTGTATGTTGCCAGGTCCCAGTGTGTATGTTGCCAGGTCCCAGTGTGTATGTTGCCAGGTCCCAGTGTACATGCTTCCAGGTCCCAGTGTGTATGTTGCCAGGTCCCAGTGTGTATGTTGCCAGGTCACAGTGTGTATGTTGTCAGGTCCCAGTGTGTATGTTGCCAGGTCCCAGTGTGTATGTTGCCAGGTCCCTGGGTGTATGTTGCCAGGTCCCAGTGTGTATGTTGTCAGGTCCCAGTGTGTATGTTGCCAGGTCCCAGTGTGTATGTTGCCAGGTCCCTGGGTGTATGTTGCCAGGTCCCAGTGTGTATGTTGCCAGGTCCCAGTGTGTATGTTGCCAGGTCCCAGTGTGTATGTTGCCAGGTCCCTGGGTGTATGTTGTTAGGTCCCACTAAGGATGCTGTAAGGTCCCACTAAGGATGCTGTAAGGTCCCACTAAGCATGCTGTAAGGTCCCACCAAGCATGCTGTAAGGTCCCACTAAGCATGGTGTAAGGTCCCACTAAGCTTGCTTTTTCCTGCTTTTATGCCTCATTTTGTTGGAAAGGTTCATAAGAGGTTCATAACTGAACAGCAAGTGATGGAAGCTCATGTTATGTTTCCGTGCCTAGTACTAATGGAGTACATAATATTAGTACAGGCAACTTAACTCATTATATTATCACACTATTAAGTTGACCTCTGAAAACAATAAAGCTGAATTTAACAAAAGATGTAACCTGAGCGCCGTCAGTTGTGTAGAAGAGGGCGCCCTGATGGCGGGCGGCGGGCGCGTGGAGCCTCTCGTTCAACTCTAATTAATAACTTGTGAGTGTGATGGTGTAGCGTGTCGGGGGTCCGCCCTCATCCCCGCCGCTGTGTGGTCGTGCGCTCCACTTACTTCCGCGTGTATCTGCAACCTGAGCGCCCAGTGTTGTGCTAGTGGTCGTCCGCCGCGCCATCTGGGTGGCTGTCAGCCCGCGCAACCTGTCCTCTTAAAAAAAACGTCTCTTTTGGCCGTTTGCTCGTATGGCCGAATATGGACGTAATTTGAAAATGATAATAAATTGAAAATAAATTTGGGATTTTTTTTTTCAACAACAGTAAGTTAAGGATCGTCTGATAGGTTAGGTGGGCAGGAAATTCTCATAAAGTTTCAAAACGTTATGAAAAACGTTAATTGAAAGTTCCTCTTCTAACCTGTCCGAGGAGGGCCGGACGACTCAAACAGAAAACGGAACAGTACGTCACTTTTGTGAGTCGATTTCATTTCAAATTACGTCCAAATTTGGCCATAGTGCGCATGACGTTATTTTTAAGAGGACGGGTTGGCCCGGGGGCCTCTGGCTGGCAAACATGGACCTCGCTTATACAATGAAATTTCAGTAACGGTAATGTCTCTGGCTTGGACGCCCAGGGGTTGGAGGGCTCCCTTCTATGGCAGCAATATTTTCTCCACATATCTAGTGTACTGGTCCCCATCCCCATCTATGTCTGATGACGCGAGGTTGGAGGTGAGGTACTTGCGCTAACCGCATTAAACTTACAGATTTAATGGTAATTTTATCGGTGTGTCATGAGCGGACGGGGTCGTCCCAGAGCCCCATGACCGGGAGTAGGGTCGTGCTGACCGGCCTTCACCAAGCCTCAGGATCTGAAATGTTGAGCTGCAAGTCCGTTGACTTTAGCACTAGATTAAATAATAGTGTATTATGATGTTGAAATTAAAAACATATGTTCAGATGACATATTTGTCTTCTGGGAGCAACGTTTTGTTTACATTAAGTGGGTAAGCGCGTGTTTGGGCAGGGATAGAGGGGCGAGGGTAGGGCATGTGTGGGCAGGGAAGGAGGAGATGGGGGACATTTAGGGAACCCCACTATTATAAGTTGGGGACATGATTACGGGATCTCCGATACTATAGGTAGGGAGACATGGTTCAGGAGTCCCCTTCTTCACCAATGATAAGAGTTACTGCAAATATACATGAATTTTTGGACCCGATATCTATGCAATGTGTGTGTGTGTGCCGGGTTTAGGGACACATGCTTGGTACTACTTCATTAACCTTTGCAGGTGACTGGTGGGTGGTCGGGGACTGTCATTACTGGGTATCAGTCGGCCCTATTGCCCTCTTTTAAGGGGGTATCAGCTTCTATGGCAACCAGAGTGATGATGGTGGAGATGAACTGGTGAACGACGAGACCAAAGAATTTAATAAAGATAATGCACGCCAAATGCATGTTCTGATAGCAGCTTTGTATTTTGTGTGTTCCCAGCACAGGAATGGTTCAACCACCTCTAGTATTGGGGGTGTTGATTTAATCTAAGAATTCCTAGTGTCACTAGGCACCAGACGCCAGTGTGGCCGGGGCTCACAAGTCTCCTCCATGTGGGAGTCCTTCCCAACTGACTTTAACTTATGCTGGAGTTCTATATTGCTGGAGCTCTTCACAAATGGAGCTCTTCACAAATGGAGCTCTGGACGGCTGGAGTCCTAAACGGCTGGAATATATGGAACGATGGGATCAGCAACTCGGGTAAGGAAATATTATCGACCATTTGAGTAACTCAAACCAAAGATGAGGGCGCCACCGGTGACCAGACACCCCCAGCTGCACGCCCACTCCTCGGGCACCCTCCGCCCACCACCACCCAGCCCTCCGCCCACCACCACCCAGCCCTCCGTCCACCACCACCCAGCCCTCCGTCCACCACCACCCAGCCCTCCGTCCACCACCGCCCAGCCCTCCGCCCACCACCACCCAGCCCTCCGTCCACCACCGCCCAGCCCTCCGTCCACCACCGCCCAGCCCTCCGTCCACCACCACCCAGCCCTCCGTCCACCACCACCCAGCCCTCCGCCCACCACCACCCAGCCCTCCGCCCACCACCACCCAGCCCTCCGCCCACCACCACCCAACCCTCCGTCCACCACCGCCCAGCCCTCCGTCCACCACCGCCCAGCCCTCCGCCCACCACCACCCAGCCCTCCGTCCACCACCACCCAGCCCTCCGTCCACCACCGCCCAGCCCTCCGTCCACCACCGCCCAGCCCTCCGTCCACCACCACCCAGCCCTCCTTCCAGCCCTCCGCCCACTACCACTGGTAGTGGGCGGAGGTAGTGGGCTATATGTTTTTCTTCAGTACATTCCAGTTTTATCAATTTGTGTTACAAATACATTTGTTGCACTTCAAAGGATTTTGTTATAAGACTGGATGTTGAACCATTATTAAGGGGATATTGTTAAAGATGGGTATATATGCATTTAAGGGTAATTTATTATTGATAGGGTGTCTATGAATTTCAGGGGTTAATTTATCAAATGGGTGATTATACATTTCAAGGGATATTTGTTAAAGAGTGGGTATTTAACCCACTCATGGGAATTTATTAAAGATAGGGGGTTTTGTGTATTTCAAGGGTTAATTTCACCGACAGGTTGTTTCCCAAGCTGAGGGTGTACCCAGGTGAGGGCGGGGACACAACCCGAGGGGTGTGAAACTGGGGGGGATGTAACAACTGGGGGTCCCACAGGGCTCGGTCCTGAGACCACTGTTCCTCCTAATTTATGTTAAGGACCTGCCCGCGGGAGGCGCTCCGACGACGGACACGCGAGCTGACACTAAGCTGATGAGGAATGTAAGTACCGGACCACTACACCAACGGTGAGGAGCACCTTCAACAATTACTCCAAACGGGGCACACAGATGGCTGATAGAGTTCAATCCCAGCAAGTGTAAGGTAGTGAAAAAGGAGACCAAGAGGCAATAACTAAACCATAAGGGAACGAAAGTTACAGAAATAGGGGAGATAGACATATATATATATATATATATATATATATATATATATATATATATATATATATATATATATATATATATATATATATATATTGTGACGGTAAAGCGTTGGTGTTCGGCTGTTTCAAAAGCTGGGGGCAGGGCCGCGTCACATAACAAAAAAAAAGAGAAGTTTGTCCTTTCGTCTGTGGTAAGGTAATGGGAAGACACACAAAACACAAAGTATATAAACAATGAAATTTTAATTACTCTAGAAATAAGACATGAATAAAGGCAATCTCATAAAATTCAGGACAAGTCAACAAACAAAACAAAATGAATAATTACTGGTAATGAAAAGTTACTCTAAGACAAGAATATAAGTTATAGTGATAGCAATATAAATCAAATAAGTGAGGTGCTGGAATACTGGCTTCAAGCTGCCACCTCCCTTAGTACACAACAGCCAGGGCTTAGTCTACTAGCGAGAGATGTCAACTCCAAGGAGCACAGAGATATTCTGAGGAGTTGACGTGCTGCTGGCCCAGACGTCGACTCTTGTGGTGGTGTGAGTGCAGGTGCGGCGAGACACCAGCCAATCGGCAACAGGCAGGCGGCGGATGAGCAGTTTGCTGGTTACGGCGGCTGGAGCCGGTGTGTCGGGGTGTGCATGGTACGATTTGCTTCCTGGGCAAAACGTTTGGCGATACTGGTGGACGTATCTTCTATATAGTATCTTGTACTTTAACGACGTAAATATGTAGGGAAGAGCAGGCTCAATCTCTCTTGAAAGAGATTATCATCACAAATATATATATATATATATATATATATATATATATATATATATATATATATATATATATATATATATATATATATAGCTAGCTGAAAACTCACACCCCAGAAGTGACTCGAACCCATACTCCCAGGAGCAACGCAACTGGTAACTACAGGACGCCTTAATCCGCTTGACCATCACGACCGGACAAAAGGAAGTGATAGCCGAAGCTATTTGAACCACTTCAAAATCAAATCAAATAGCTTCGGCTATCACTTCCTTTTGTCCGGTCGTGATGGTCAAGCGGATTAAGGCATCCTGTAGTTACCAGTTGCGTTGCTCCTGGGAGTATGGGTTCGAGTCACTTCTGGGGTGTGAGTTTTCAGTTGCATATAGTCCTGGGGACCATTCAGGCTTGTTTGCATTATATATATATATATATATATATATATATATATATATATATATATATATATATATATATATAAATATAAAGACTTCCTTCATTCATGTAGAGACACTAACAAGCACGCGTAGTGTCCCCTTGAATGAAATACACAGGAAGAAGAAGATGTGGAAGCCACCTCCATCCACACCTTCAAGGTCAGATGGGTCATAAACAACTTGAAGGTGATAATAGTTAAGTAATAACAACGGGTACAACAAGGCTGTCAGGCTGGGTGTGAGGAGCTAGAGCTTACTCCCCAGTAGTCACTCTTAGTTAGGTAAGTACTGTTAGGTAAGTCCCCCACACCAGGCCACCCCAGCATCCCCCCACCAGGCCACCCCAGCAGCCCCAACTCACCAGGCCACCCCAGCAGCCCCAACACACCAGGCCACCCCAGCAGCCCCAACACACCAGGCCACCCCAGCAGCCCCAACACACCAGGCCACCCCAGCATCCCCAACACACCGGGCCCCCAGCAGCCCCAACACACCAGGCCACCCCAGCAGCCCCTACACACCAGGCCACCCCAGCAGCCCCAACACACCCCACCCCAGCAGCCCCAACACACCAGGCCACCCCAGCAGCCCCAACACACCAGGCCACCCCAGCAGCCCCAACACACCAGCAGCCCCAACACACCAGGCCACCCCAGCAGCCCCAACACACCAGGCCACCCCAGCAGCCCCAACACACCGGGCCACCCCAGCAGCCCCAACACAGGCCACCCCAGCAGCCCAACACCCCAGCCACCCCAGCAGCCCCAACACACCAGGCCACCCCAGCAGCCCCACCAGGCCACCCCAGCACCCCAACACACCAGGCCACCCCAGCAGCCCCAACACACCAGGCCACACACCAGGCCACCCCAGCAGCCCCAACACACCAGGCCACCCCAGCAGCCCCAACACACCAGGCCACCCCAGCAGCCCCAACACACCAGGCCACCCCAGCAGCCCCAACACACCAGGCCACCCCAGCATCCCCCACACCAGGCCACCCCAGCAGCCCCAACACACCAGGCCACCCCAGCAGCCCCAACACACCAGGCCACCCCAGCAGCCCCAACACACCAGGCCACCCCAGCAGCCCTCCACCAGGCCACCCCAGCAGCCCCCCACCAGGCCACCCCAGCAGCCCCAACACACCAGGCCACCCCAGCAGCCCCAACACACCAGGCCACCCCAGCAGCCCCAACACACCAGGCCACCCCAGCAGCCCCAACACACCAGGCCACCCCAGCAGCCCCAACACACCAGGCCACCCCAGCAGCCCCAACACACCAGGCCACCCCAGCAGCCCCAACACACCAGGCCACCCCAGCAGCCCCAACACACCAGGCCACCCCAGCAGCCCCAACACACCAGGCCACCCCAGCAGCCCCAACACACCAGGCCACCCCAGCAGCCCCTACACACCGGGCCACCCCAGCAGCAACACACCAGGCCACCCCAGCATCCCCCCACCAGGCCACCCCAGCAGCCCCAACACCACCCCAGCAGCCCCAACACACCAGCCACCCCAGCAGCCCAACACACCAGGCCACCCCAGCAGCCCCAACACACCAGGCCACCCCAGCAGCCCCCCAGCAGCCCCACACCAGGCCACCCCAGCAGCCCCAACACACCAGGCCACCCCAGCAGCCCCAACACACCAGGCCACCCCAGCAGCCCCACACCAGGCACCAGGCCACCCCAGCAGCCCCAACACACCAGGCCACCCCAGCAGCCCCAACACACCAGGCCACCCCAGCACCCAACACACCAGGCCACCCCAGCAGCCCCAACACACCAGGCCACCCCAGCAGCCCCAACACACCAGGCCACCCCAGCAGCCCCAACACACCAGGCCACCCCAGCAGCCCCAACACACCAGGCCACCCCAGCAGCCCCAACACACCAGGCCACCCCAGCAGCCCCAACACACCAGGCCACCCCAGCAGCCCCAACACACCAGGCCACCCCAGCAGCCCCAACACACCAGGCCACCCCAGCAGCCCCAACACACCAGGCCACCCCAGCAGCCCCAACACACCAGGCCACCCCAGCAGCCCCAACACACCAGGCCACCCCAGCAGCCCCACACCAGGCCACCCCAGCAGCCCCAACACACCAGGCCACCCCAGCAGCCCCCACACCAGGCCACCCCAGCAGCCCCAACACACCAGGCCACCCCAGCAGCCCCAACACACCAGGCCACCCCAGCAGCCCCTACACACCAGGCCACCCCAGCAGCCCCTACACACCAGGCCACCCCAGCAGCCCCAACACACCAGGCCACCCCAGCAGCCCCTACACACCAGGCCACCCCAGCAGCCCCTACACACCAGGCCACCCCAGCAGCCCCCCACACACCAGGCCACACCAGCAGCCCCTACACACCAGGCCACCCCAGCAGCCCCAACACACCAGGCCACCCCAGCAGCCCCAACACACCGGGCCACCCCAGCAGCCCCAACACACCAGGCCACCCCAGCAGCCCCAACACACCAGGCCACCCCAGCAGCCCCAACACACCAGGCCACACC